AACGTTCGGCTATATATCAAATTGAAGCTATTGAAAATTGCTATTCGGTGTGGAAATTTCAAGACTTCAGCGAAAAGAAAAATATTTAAAAAATACAAAAACAACTGCAAAATGGCAAATTATCGGTAATTATGTTTGTAGTTTTGCAATATTTCCCTTTTAGCTAAAGTCTTGAAATTTCTACACCAAATAGCATTTTTCAATAGCTTCAATTTAATATATAGCCCAACGTTCAGTGTTGAGTATTTCTGCTCATAACTCAGAAAAACTAAAATGCACTGGCTTCAATCCCCCGCCCTGAGTTAGCCTTCCAGTTTATTTATAGTTCAATGGTATACATATAATAAATGGAGTAATACCCTCTCGTCAACTAGCAGTGAACTTTTTGACTGAATGCATTTCAACGTTTTCTCTTGCCTTTTATATTTTGCGCGAAATTCATTCGAAGTGAATTTACAGTAGGAAAGTACATATCAGATTTAAGCCTGTTTTCCACTTCAAAAAGTCGTCGGTTCCACACTACAAGTCCAGACACACCGGACGCGATTCGACAACGCGAATTTTTGATTTTCACTGACCGATAACTTTGATCCTAGTTTAAATTTTGCAAATATTTAGAAGTGCTATATAACATTTTGAGTTATTCGGTCAACATATCTTTCAAAATTTGCTGTCATTGGCTTTATTAACTTTTAAAAATTAAAAATCGCGTCGCGTTGTCGAATCGCGTCCGGTGACCTTACCGCGCTCAGGACAGAAAGAAATAAGCTACGTTTCGGTACGACTGAAGAGGAAAACTGGTTTAATTTGTGGTCAACATCGTTGAACTGCATAAAAACATGACAATACTTTGTTAAAAGACATGACAATACTTTTGTCAATGTCTAGTCAATGTCTATTCTCAACTTTCTCTATTTAAAATTTTCAACAGAACAACTGGAAAATTAAAGAAGGTAAAAGATATTTTGGCGAGTATCTCTGCGAGTGCGGTCGTTCATGGATGAGTGCAAACAGTTGGAAAGACAAGGGACAACAGTGCCAAAAATGCAACACAAATGTCCTTCCACATACGCAAAGACCTTTGAATAGACCCGAAGACGTGGACGTGAATGACCCAGAGAAAAGCCATCCTCAACAACTTTGTGACATGTGCAAAGAACTGGGCGAATTTTGTGGTGATCGTTCTCGAGGTCGTTCTCGACGTCGTTTTCGACCTTATTAGATTATACCAAAGGAACTTCATATCAAAATTTGAACCAAATGTCTAGGGCATTTATTAAATTAGTGTTAAACCGTTGTAATCTTCCCAATTCTATCATAATGCATGATTGTATCATTTTGTATGGTATTTTCTTTCATGTCTTCACAAAATAAATGTGTTCGGATTTTCTCTTTTATGACTTAATATATATCGATAATAGACCTTACGCGTAATGACGTCACAAGGCTTGATGCCAGCAAAGAATGTTGGTCTTAATAGTCATCTTCCGGGAAAATTTTGATAGTGGCCATTTTGAATTGTTTAATTTTCCCTGGCAATGACTACTAAGACCAACATTCCTCGCGGGTATCAAGCCTTGTGACGTCACATGAATACTTCCTTCGCCTGGGAGAAGTAACGCTATTAGCTTACGGTAACTGGGATGGACTCTTAACTGGCTCTTATTTCTACTTCAAAAACAATTGTTACTGCCAGCATGAATTGTAAAATAACTGGATAGGTAACTTCCTGACGTCACAGCCTAAACCTAGTTGCAATATGTGACGTCACGCGTATTGTCAAAGTTCTCAGCATTTTTGTTGTTTCGCAATATTTTCCGCTTTAAAAGAGTAATTTTGAAGCATAAACTGGTCTAATTGTTTTAAAAACATGCCTAAGCCACGACAAAGTATTCAAGGTAAATGTTTTTCGTCTTTATTCTGTATTATTTTACATTTGTAGCTACGAAATTTGCGATGCATTTTTCACTGTTTAGTGCTTGAAATATTGGCTAAAATTGACTGGGAATACTTAGAGCTTTTATCGTAGAATGGCGTAGTTATATTTATTTGCTCTTTGACTAAAATGTTTTGCTGTATTAAATTGCTAAACATGCCGTTTTTGAGAATTGGTTTGCAACTAGGTTTTAACATCCAACCACGCCATCAACCCATTGAAAACATTAGGTCACGTCCATGGTTTCAGCAAGTACAAAAGTAAAGACCATTTTAAAATCAGCTTATTAATCAGCCCTGAAGTGGTTCTTGTGTCTTATGTGTTGCCTTCTGCTAAACTTCAGAAATTATCTGAAGAAAACTGCCAAATTAATATTTCAAGATATAGTCTGCAAAGTTTTTGATTTATTGGTAGAATTTCAGAATTAAGAAAAGGTTAAAGACCCAAAGAAAAATATTGGGTGACCCAAGCATAATTGACAACGATCTAAACATACAATTTGAGTCTTATTTCGTCATAAATAAGTCGAAATCAGAGAGTCGAAAAGCGCGGGAAAATTATTGACTGAGCCCACAATGTCACCGGGTTTAAAAAGTAATTAGTCGGTTGATTTGCTACAGTTAGTTCCTTAGTTAATTAGCTCGCAAATTATAAAATTATCTGCATAACTAACCCTATTCAAAATGTTTATAAACGAGAAGTAAAATAAAACTCTAACATTATTTACAGATTGAACCCAAACTCTAAAATCATATATTACAAATCTACTTTAAAAATCCTTTTCTGCCTCTAAAAATCCAATCTCACGCTCGAAAATGCGTCCAAAAATAAGAACATTTCACGCTCTAAAAGCTTCTAAAATCTTTCCTTTATCGAATTTAAAATTCGTCCAAGCAGGAGCAGTAAATGTCATATCGATGGAAGTGGTTGGACTCTTCGCTTGCTGTTTATTTTTCGGTCTCGCGCGACGCGTGTTGTTCACGCGAGAAACTCGCGTGAACGCGGAATTACTCGAGGGCGACAAACTTCGCGTGGTGTTCGGATACGATTCTTGATTTCCAGATGGCGTCATCGAAGATGGCGACGAACGGCGCGCGTTCACGGGGCTGTACCTGCGAGCTGGGTCTGGCCGACCATCCGTTTCGGTTCTCTGGAGAATTTTAAATGATTTGGCCGTGTTTGCGCTCTTCTGGTCGTGCTCCGAAGGGTGTTTTGCCTGTTTGCGGGCTGAGTTTCCGAAAACGGCTGAAATGAAGTAAAATAGGAAAGAATAGAAATAGGCTGTTTGTATACTGTAACCTCTCAAAATGTGTTGACAAAAAGTGATTGAAAAGCATAAAGAAGCAATCTTTATCAATGTCCATAAATTACAAAAAAAAAATTGGCTACTAGGTTTAAATAATTTAAATTGGGTATTCGGTATTGTCCACTGCGCATGTGTGGTTCAGCGACAGCCCACGACAATTTGAAAACAAAATGAAACATATTCATGAGTGGATTTGATTTTGAGAACTAAACACAGTTCTCTCACGGGCTACCAAATCACCCGGTTTTTGAATATCTTTGCGCATTTAAGCCCCGAGGGGGCTGATTGTTGAAAAAAGTAGTGAAAATGAACTGCAGTTCGTGCGAAAATTGTCAAAAAATCGCGTATTTCGAAGTTAACTACTATTTAACTACAAATTAATGATTAACAAGTACTTAAGAGTTTCATATACAACCAGCCCTAGGACAAAATAAACACACAATATCGACACAAACAAAATTTCCACACAACATATCGCTTACCTTTTCTCGTCTTGAGATTATCCTGAGTCCTGAGTGGATGATAGAAGTCCATTTGATTCAAGAATCGTTTCTGCGCTTCGTGTTTACGTTTCTCGTGTTCAACGCGTGCCTGTTCCATATTCAAGCATGCGTCCTCTGATTGCAACATTCGTTGCAACTGATTCTGTGGTTGAGAATACACCTTCTGCTGTTCCAGTGAGGCTAAATTACGTTTCTCGCCTATCCATTTTTTTAAATCTCTAGAAAATTTCCAAAGGATACTGGAATTAATCCACCGCA